GGTTCTTATAGAAGAGGAAAATCTTATTTTGCAAACACTCTTCTTGGACGTCATGACGGATTTGAACTTGGTTCATCGGTAAATGGATGCACCAAAGGTATTGATATTTGGGATACCCCATTCTATCATGAAGGCAAACGTAAGTTTATAGCATTACTAATTTTATTAAACATGGACCGCTCAAAGTTAAATAGTTGGTTAACGTCAGTACTTTGAACTTGGATTATGCTGGAGTACATGAATTGATCTTATTTGTCAATATAATTCATGTATTGACGAGAATTATCCAGTGTGTTCGATTGTTTGACTGGATGAAAATCGAAGATGGCGTTAACCGACTTTGATCGGCCACTATTAGTCACATTGCACCTCCAAGTGGAGTACACTATGTATAAGTAATCCATTTGATGGTTCTATTTAGGATGAATATAAATATCAACATCCTATACTGTATATAAATGTAATTAACATTAAATAATTGTATAAATTTAGGTGTTGTCATTATTGATTGTGAGGGCATTGATGACCCAAACCAGGAAGTTCCGTGGGCAAATAAACTTTTTATATTATGTCTGGCTATCTCTTCAACACTTATATACAATATTAATGGAATTATTGGAAGAGATGATATCGAAAAGTTATTCCTAATGACTAAAATTGTATCTCTCATCCAACCACCAAATGATTACCAATATTTGCCGAATTTGGTCGTTCTTCTTCGAGATTTCCAACTAGATAGTCCGCCTGATTTTGTAAAGTATTTTCTTGAAAGATTGTCAAATGTTAATTATGATGGTAAATTGAAATTATCTTTTTATATTACATTAGAATTAATTTTTATGGGCTAATTTGGCTCTAAGCGATTTAGTTTTACAGATAATTTTGCAGCATGAAATCGCTTAATGAGCCAAATAGCCAATATCGATATGCTCTATTTAATTGTAATAACATGTAACATATATTTATATCAAAATAAGCTGCGCAAGATATTACAAAATTTTTTAAACAATTCAAAGTCTATGCGCTTCCAGTAAGTATTTTATATATTACAAAATTTCCTTTTTAAATCTTTACTAAGTAACTTTAAAATATATAGTCTCCAGGAATTCGTCAAGATGCTATGAGAGACATGAGCAAAATTGAGACCAATCAATTAGATCCTAGTTTTGTTAAAAAGATTGAAGAAATTGTAACAAATATTTTTGAAAATTTGCCTCCAAAATATCTTAATGCTTCAACAATGACAGGAATAGTTTTTGCTGAATTTCTTGAGAGATGTGTTGTACAAATAAATGATCCAGAAAACACCATGTTATCGATTCCAAGTGCGTATGAAGCTACCATTAATTATGCTGCTCAAAAAGCATATGAGACTTGTCTTGAAACTTATAATGAAATGATGAACCAAATAAGCATTACTGGGTTTCCAATTTCTTGGAATGAGTTTGAAGATATTCATAATGTCGCGCTTGAAATTGCGATGAAAACTTTCATTCAACAAATCGTTGGTAGCACTGATCAAATTCAATCTTTTCAAGAAACATTTTTTGATAAAATTACTACTGTGAAAGATCAACTATACATGAAAAACTCTGCAGCCATGTATGAATATCATAAAGAATGGGCACAGAAACTCTGGAAAGAGAACGTCGCGCATGGATTAGAAATAGAAAAACTTTTTGTAATTAATATTCATAATTTACTTAATTTAGATATTTTTTTGATCTAATAATTCTGTTTATACAGGATATGGACAAATTTGAAGAGGCAATTAAATTGTTTGAACGAACTTATGGAACTATAGCAAAGCCAGGGCAAGAAGCTGTACAAGTAAGTATACAGTATGTGTATGTTGGTTGTTATAATATTAATATAGAAACGGAATCATAATAACAATTTCTATACCAGGTGCTAAACGAATTTAAAGCCAATCAATACGAAGATGCCATTAAGCTGTTGAATACCTATGGTGCTTTGCGTGAAGAAAATGCAAATGAAATATCAGCACGTATACAAGCTGAACAACAGTATTATGATCTTTTACAAGAGGAAAATAAATTAAAAGCAGAAATAGATAATTGTAAAACTGAAAATGAAAAAATCCAGAAATTACTTGAAGAAAAAGTAAAGAATATGGAAGATAACCTTCGCAGTCAGGAACAACATAGCGAACAAGCAATTAATCAACTAAAAAATGAAAATCAGCATATGCTTAATAAAGTTAAAGAAGAAAGCCAGTTGAAAATAAATAGTCTGCAAGAACAACTAAACAATAATACTCAAAAGAAAACCGACTTTTTAGATTTAATTAAAGAGATTGTCTGTATTGGTGAAGCAATTTTACCAATAATAAAATGTTTTCTTAAAAAAAAATAATTATCTTCTTATATAAGTAGCAAAAAAGGAACGAAATATACAATTTATTCGTAGCTCAATAAAATTTTTTATGTTCGTGTTCGATAATATATACGATCGATTCGATATTCGTATTAAAATGTTATGACTTACTGAGGTTAGAAAATGAGGCTACTTAATTGTCACACATCTCACTTACACAAGTACGATATTATAAATACAATGTAAGTTACGTTGTCAGGAAAGTTATAACAACCCTATCTACAACTTTTTTTTCAAATGCTTGTAAATTTTTTTATAAATCCTACTTTATCTTATTTATAATGAAAGGTATAAAATAAAAAAATTTATCACTGAGAGGATAGCTTTGATTCTCGTAATAAAGTAAATTTTGCTATTTTTTGCTCAACTTCTCTATTTATTAAATTCTGTCATGCGTTCCCTTTATTCCAGTTTCAAGTTCCACACAACATCCATTTACTTTGGTTGTATCTCTGTTCAACATATTTAAAATTTATTGGCCTGTCCTATGTCAACTAACTCATCTTCTAAGAATGAATAATTAAATGATATGGTATCATGATAATCTTATCGTTTTCTGAATAATATAGTGGAGATGCCGATTTGTAAACTTAGTATAATCAGGCCAACATTCTAATACAATGGACCCAAATTTTTGTAACCTCAAATTTGTGAACATTGTAAAGGTCTAATTTAACCCTCCGGAAATACTGCGCTTCGACGTAGTACAATATCCTATTTTGTTTGTAGATTCTTGCCAAAGATTAGTGTCAATCCTTCCCCATATTTAGTTTAAACGATGTATGAAATGTTATATATATTAAATATATATGATATATTAAATATATACGATATATTTAATATATACGATATATTAAACATTTCTAAAAGTATATAAGCGACGACTTTTTCCTCTTTAATAAAAGCATCAAAGACTTGATCTAAGTTTGGATCTCAGTTTAGATCTTGAGTTGAGAATAAACCCCTTTGCATAATAACCTGATATCACATTCGTTGATTCACAACTACTTACCCCTCCCCCAATAATATAAACTGACCCTAACTCTGATAAACCCAGATCAAATCCTCCACGCCTTCTTTCAGCCTTCCACTATTAGGGTTATTGTTAGTTTAGTGATAGGTTGTAGAGTATTACTAGGTGTGATCATCATCCTAATCTACTCTCAGACTACAGATACTAAATTAAACCTTCTCAATTGGTGGTGACTGTGAGATTCAAAACATTGAATAAAAGTAAAACAACATCTCTACTTCCTCTCTCCTGATAAAATTACAAAATGAATAAATTATAAAAGATATAGATGAATTTGGGTTATTCAATAACCTCTAAGAAAATAAAAATGATAAAAGACAAGCCTAAGATGGAAATTGAAGTTATGAAGATTATAGATCTCATCAGAAACTAGAAGAGGAACAAGAAGAATCTGAAAATGCCTAAGAATTCCTTAAACAACTGGCTAAGTTTTTAAAAAGATAGCCAGAGGAACTATAAGGCTGTGGAATACTACTACCATTACTTTGAATTTAAGCTTTTCATTATAGTGATTGACTATATAGTTCTAAAATGGCTCTATATGACTAAGCTCAATAGTAGATATATGAGATAGATCATTAGATTATAACTCTATAATTATACTATAGAGCACTAGGCTAGTAGGATTTATAATAATGCTAATAGCTTTTCTCATAGCTAAGAACCTAAGAAAGAAAAACAAGAATTTAAACAATTAATAGAAAAAAATAAATAGCAAACAGAATTAGAATGGTTAATAATCTGGTAGAATACAACAAATATAACAAGAATAATAATTATTGAACTAGAAGTAAAGTTTCTAATAAGGAATAGATCGAACCAGGTTCTATTATAACCTATGACTATGAGATTGAATAAAACTAGTAGAATATAAACAAAGAAAATTATTATGAAAACTATAACAAAAAAGAAGCTGAATATAAAGAGTTATTGAGAGTACTTATCTATAAATCTAGTAGAGAATTAATCTAGTCATAGCAAAATGGATATCAGTATATATTAAATATTAAGCAAACAGTAGACAATATACTAATAAAATTAGACAAATTATACAACATAATTATATCTACCTGGTGAAAAAGTGAATTAGAACTTTACACTACTAAACCTTCATCTAGTATTAGAATTCAATCTGAAATAAATAGATCTATATAATAAACTATAATAGTTATAATAGTTAGTAACAACAACAAAAAGAGAAAGAAATAAATATTTAAATTCAATATTAAATATTATACAGTTTAGATCATCAGTATTCTAGCAATTAAAAAAAAACTTAGAATTAATATTATATAGATGAATTGTAAAGTATTTAGATAACTAACAATACTCATTAAACATAAATCAAAAACAAATCAGACAAATAATTAATAGCAAAAAAACAATAGAAGTAAAAAACAGAACCTTATATAAGAAAGATAACTAAAGCTCAGATAAGATGCTAAAAGTAGTCCAAAAAGATGAGGTAGAAGCTATCTTTATAATGATCTATAACTACCTATTAGGAAGGTACTTCAAAGTAGATACTATATTTAACAAGATCTAGTAAATCTTCTTTTAGCCTGGTATGTATAATGACATAAAACAACATGTTAAAGGATATGACAAGTGCCAAAGAAGAGGCAAAAATAAAAAAAGTAGACTATTATATCCTATATCTATAAAATCTCTATTTTATCAAATAGAGATTGATATTGTTAGTTTACTACTAATAACACCTAGAAAAAACTAATACATTATGATAGCTTCAGATTATATAACTAAATAGCTAAAGGCTAAGGCAATAAAATATGCTAATACTTAAGAAGTAGCAGACTTCATATTTGATAAAATAATCTGTCATCATGAATGCTTAGAAAAGCTATTATCTAACTAGAGTACCTATTTTTACAACTAATTAGTGAACAAGTTGTTAGATAAATTCTGTATAAAACACCTGTTATTCATACTATACACCCTTAAACAAATAGATTAGTAGAATGCTTCAATAAAACTTTCTGTAAAGTGATAGCTAAGTCAGCAGAACAGATTATTAACTAGGATTTAATTATATTAGCAATTCTATTTACTTATAGAACCACCAAATATTTAACTACTAAAATAATACTATTCTTTTTAGTTAATAAATGAGAGGTCAGATTGCCTATTATTATATTGCTTCTACTTCTTTAGAGAGAACAACTAACTAGAGAGACTAATAACAGTGAATACTTTGTATAACATCCCTTGTTACTATATTTTGTCAAAGTCTTTAGAGTGTTTTTGTAAAACTTAATAAAGAAGATTTAAGGTAATTTGCAATTATGAAAGAGGCAACAATTAAAGATATATGAAGATATCAATAAATGTTTAT